CTGCGATATGACATCTCTTCCGAGGCAACGCCCTGGAAAGGGAAAAAACCCAAACAGAACCACAAAGTTCTGTCTGGGATAAGCTTCAAGGATGCAGCCATGAACCACCTGAAAATAGCTATAACTACCGAAAAAGAGATCCTTGTTAAAAAGATACTGATGGGAGAACTGAATGAAACAATTTTTTCCGTCTGCTGTAATAAAACCAAGCCATCCACATTCAGGTCTTGGACGCACTCTGGTGAGCTCATCAGAGTATCGTGCGACGATGACCTGGCATTGGATTGGTTAAAAAACAACGTACTAACCTTAAAAACATGAGAATAAGCAACACTCGCTGTTGTTAGGATGAACGAGTCTAAATCCCAAAATGACCAAATGGTTATACACAAGGGTTATAAGACCCATGATAACCTATGATACAGTGGCGTGGGTAACCAAAACTGCACAGGCAAGTGCAATAGGCCAACTCACTAGCATTCAGCGGCTTGCCTGTCTAAGTGCTACTGGGGCTATGCGCACTACGTCGACTGCAGTAATGGAGGAATTATTAAATCTCACGCCACTGCACATCTTCATACAAGGAGAAACTAGGTCAGCTATTCACAGGCTAATGCAGGGACAAAACCCAATAAGCCAACTACATAGCGCCGACTACATAAGGCTATATCAGCAAGTAAAAAGGGATAATATTCTAGCTATGCCTACTGATAGAGCTATAACGACATACAAATTTAAAAGAAATTTTCATTCAAATACCACCCCGAGAATCCTCGAAACAGGGACCTCTCGTGCAGGCTGAATTCATCTGGTACACAGACGGTTCAAAAACCAAGGAAGGAGCCGGTGCTGGAATCTATGGACCCAAGTCGAAAACAACGATTTTGCTGAGTTTAGGAAAATATGCAACAGTGTTCCAGGCTGAACTTATAGCCATACAATACTGTGCAAGAGAAATATTAAATTAGCAAGTATCAGGCAAAACTATTGCCATATACTCTGATAGCCAAGCAGTTCTAAAGACAATTCTCTCACCAGAAATCAAATCTCGACTGGTGAAAAACTGTCTAGAAGACCTGGCAGAGCTAAGTAGTCAAAATAAAGTGACCCTAGCCTGGGTTCCAGGCCATGAGGGATATCAGGGCAACGAAAAGGCCGACGAATTAGCCCGAGAAGGCTCAGATAAGGCCATGGCAGGCCCCGAATCCTTCTGTGGAGTTGCTAAGGCATTATGCAAGGCATCCATTAAACAATGGATGCAAAAAGAGTCTCAGGAATGGTGGAACAACTATCCAAGACTGTGACAAGCCCAACAGTTCATCAAGGAACTATAGGCTAAGTTCACGAAAGACATACTGGATCAAAAGTGTCAAATCGTTAGGATAACAGTAGGCCTTCTTACTGGACACTGTCGCCTCAAAAGGCACATGAGTGTCATCAATCCAGTAGAAGAAGCAACTTTATGCAGGTTCTGTGAAGAAGAAGAGAAAACATCATTCCACGTCCTCTGCCAATGTGAAGGCCTGGCTGGAATGAGGTTTCTAACATTGGGCGAAGAAAAGCCAAATGCATGCAACTACTTGCGGAAGCCACTGTCAAAGCTACTAAGTCTAATGAAAAGACCAGGTTAGACGACATACTCTAAAACAAACGAAGTCCCACAATAGATCTGAAAAGGTTGCGGTGGACAAGTGTTACGCATTATTTAAAGGTGTTACGTAACTATTTTGATCTGATGTAATAATCCTATTTTAATTATTTAAGCTCAGTCGTGGATTCGATATCGATATAAGTGATTATATTTGTCCCTGAACAGCTAAACCTAATCTCGGGTTTAGACCTGTTCACAATAATAGATAATTAATTTTAATCGATAAAATTAATGAAGATAAAATAGTTAAACAAATATGTGCCAAAAGGGGCCAAAGAAAATATAGTATTGCCTTGAGCGCCACCAATATGTTTTACAATTATTATGATAATCGCGGGAAAAATTGGAAACCCAGTCTTGGGACAATATAATCACTTTATGAACATTTCCTCTGTCTATCTGAAAAACTTAAAGGAGGAACAAGAAATGATGTGATGAAAATTAAATTAAAAATCAGTTTATTGCCATTGATAAGTGCACATCGGTTGAGATTTCGAGATTTCGCAGGTGTGGTACTTCCCTGCATCATTCTTGTTCCTTGACTCTCTAAGGAGGTTTCTGAGATGGTTACTGACTACGCAGCAGTTCTCTGGCTAGATATTTATCTAAGTAGATAGTGAGTCCTCTGTTTTGAGCCGGTCGTTAGTTCTATCTGATAGTAATGGTGAGTCCTGAGCTCTGAACAATGGTGAGCTACTGATTTAAGCGTGGGTCTTAAGCCAAAGCAAATCCCCTGATTTGAGCAATGGTGAGCCACTGATTTGAGCCTCTGATTTGAGCCCCTGATTTGAGCCTCTGGTTTGAGCCTCTGATTTGAGCCTCTGATTTGAGCCTCTGATTTGAGCCTTTGATTTGAACCTCTGATTTAAGCCTCTAATTTGAGCCACTATATTCAAAATAAAACAGAAACCTCAGTACTCCAGGTAACTTTTGAGATTACAATGGAAATCTAAATTACATAGGGCTTTGATTATGATTGTACAATGATTCATAAATTTCATCAACAAAATCTAATATTAAAAACGACTTGAGAGCCAATATATGTAATTTAAATATCCAGAGATCACACAGAGAAAGAAAAATAAGAAAAATATAAAAAACTGCTTGCTCACATAACCTACTAGGATAAAAAGCGTAAAATATAAATAGCAAAGATCAAATTAAAGCAGCAATAATTAAATTACAAACCCATTCTACACTTTTCCAAATACTGGCATATGGACAATATACAAAATTCGATAAAATGGCAGCTACATTTATTCACCACGTGAAATTTTAAATTCAAACAATATAATAATAAATTAAGTTACTTGGGAACACTTAGTTAACACAAAATTTTCAACTCGACACGAGATACATTTTATTATAAATAGTTAAACATATAACTATAAGATAGTGAGATACAATTAATTTTTTCATGTAGATACCATGGCGAACGGTTCACAAAAGACGTGCGTGAAGTTGGCCCTACCATGTTATGATAATTACACCAAAGTTGTACTAATATTTTGCAACTAATTTGCAACTTTAGGCAACCTGTATAAAAAAATTTGCAACCTTACATTTTAGTTCTAATCGCTAAAACAAAATTGGTGGGGCCAAATTCACGCAGCCCCACCACATCATCGTATTGACCTCGAACCTTTTTCATAATTTAGCAACTAATTTGCAACTTTAGGCATCCGGTATAAAAAAATTTGCAACCTTACGTTTTTGTTCTAATCGCTAAAACAAAATTGGTGGGGCCAAATTCACGCAGCCCCACCACATCATCGTATTGACTTCGAACCTTTTTCATAATTTAGCAACTAATTTGCAACTTTAGGCAACCTTCGTGAAAAAATTTGCAACCTCGTGGTTACGCCAGAAACGAATTCCTAAGTTGGTGGGGCCAAATTCACGCGGCCCTACCACATCGTCGTAGTGACCTCAAATTTTTTTCATAATTTAGCAACTAATTTGCAACTTTAGGCCACCTTCGTAAAAAAATTTCAACCTCGTGGTTAAGTCGGAATCGAATTCCTAAGTTGGAAGGTGGGCCAAATTCACTCGGCCCCACCACATCGTCGTGTAGTCCTGGAATTTTTTGGGGCCAACATCTTTTTCTTAATCTATTTTATTACATACTAATATATTATTAAAATTTATAGTTACAATATTACAGTTTTACTTTAATAAATTAAGATGGTGATATAAATATAAGCACCATGTGCATATATTGTAATATTTAGTAGGTACATTTTTGTATTTGATACGCAAATCATAATTAAACAAAACAAAATAAAATAAAATATAATTTAACATTTTAAGAGGAGCATATTCTTAAATATAAAGGATATAATGAATTTGGAAATTATTATTATTATTATTATCACAGAAACTAGGTAATATTAATAAAAATAATATTTTTATCGTTATAAATTATAATTTAATACTTTGAAAATTTGTATTATGGAATTCAATTTGTTAAGTCCCAACGTCTTGTTTAATTAAAATTGTTTTAAATTTTACAGAAATGCTCTCCATAATATGTTTTGTTTTGTTTAATTATGATTGGCGTGTCAGATGCAAACATGTTGGCCCCAAAAAATTCGAGGTCTATACGACGATGTGGTGGGGCCGCGTGAATTCGGCCACCCTTCCAACCACGATGTTTTAAATGTTTTCACGAAGGTTGCCTAAAGTTGCAAATTAGTTGCTAAATTATGAAAAAGGTTCGAGGTCAATACGACGATGTGGTGGGGCTGCGTGAATTTGGCCCCATCAACTTAAGGAGTCGTTTCCGGCGTAACCACGAGGTTGCAAATTTTTTCACGAAAGTTGCCTAAAGTTGCAAATTAGTTGCTAAATTATGAAAAAGGTTTGAGGTCAATACAACGATGTGGTGGGGCTGCGTGAATTTGGCCCCACCAATTTTGTTTTAGCGATTAGAACAAAAATGTAAGGTTGCAAATTTTTTTATACCAGTTGTCTAAAGTTGCAAATTAGTTGCTAAATTATGAAAAAGTTTCGAGGTCAATACGACGATGTGGTGGGGCTGCGTGAATTTGGCCCCATCAACTTAAGGAGTCGTTTCCGGCGTAACCACGAGGTTGCAAATTTTTTCACGAAGGTTGACTAAAGTTGCAAATTAGTTGCTAAATTGAAGACCTTGGCGTGAAAAGGGAGTAAGCCACAAAAATTAAAAAAAACCATATTTTTAGTCCAAGTAGTTCAGAAATAAAGGTACTAGCCACATAAAACTAAATTGCACGATTCTCCAATAGGTGGCACTGGTGCGGTATTATGACGTTTTCACATTTTCTGCCGGGCGGCGAAAATTTTTATAACAAGGTTACAAGCCACCATCATGAGTGACACACGTGCTGGGTGTTCTCGCGATTTTGATGAGTTTTCCTCTGATTCAAGCGTCAAAAATAGCAATGAGTTTGACTCAGATGATAGTGTAAAGGACAGGGACTATACTGAAAGTGAAAGTGAGGACAGTTCGTTATCTTTTGAAGAGCAACAGGTACGTGTTTAAGGTTATGTGGCATACACCCTTTTACTGAAAAGTTTGGCGACGTAATTTTTCAAGTCATGTTGCTTATTTTGTGGCATATATCCTTTTCCCGAAGTTTTATTAAATCTGTTTTTGTCTTTTTGGGTATGCTATGATTATTTTTCAAAGTGCCAGAAACTTTTTTGGGCGCGTTAGAGTAAATTCGCATGGATGTACGAGTAACGATAAGTCTAATACTTTTTTGGGAATTTTCCACAAACCGATTTTTACGAAACTACTCCTCCGACTATTTTTGGGATCAAAATTGACGAATTTGAAGTCAAATCGAAAATCTAGATATTTTGGATAGCTGTTCTGGAAAAATTAAATCCTGAATTTTTGCTCTTTTGTTCTTTGGGAGAAGTTATTTGCTTTCTCACTGTCAACTTGCTTATCGTTAAATAAAGTTGGGTCGACAAGTATTAAGTTGAACTTCTGACACGCTTTCTTTTAATTTACAGGAACCCACTAAAAAATGCCGTGCTCATGTTCCAACTCCTGAGAAAAAATTCAGAAGTAGGTGGCGGAAGAAAAATGTAGATAAATATGTATTAAGAAAAACACGTCGAAATCTTGGTTCACCATATACAAGTAAAACGGGTAAAGATATTGAAGCAAGAGTTTTAGGCCCACCTTGTGGATGCAAGAGAAACTGTAGGATATTGCTCCGAGGCACGGAAAAGGAAATTTTTGACGAATTTTGGAATATTGGCGACTACGACAAACAGAATGCGTATTTATACCACAATATAAAGCGGCTTCCAAAAAACCGGTCATATCCAAAGAAAACCAAGAAAAATGTTTCTTCTCGGAATTTCAGTTTCAACTATTTTGTGAAGGTGAATGGATTCGATGTGAAAATATGCAAAAAAGAATTTATTTCCATCTATGGCCTTACTTCTCAAAAGAGATTACAGTTACTGCAAAAACAAATGAGTGAAGGCTTAACAACACCCAAATCAGATCAACGAGGAAAATACTTGAACCGGCATAATAAAATATCTGAAGAAGCTTGCCAGTCAGCCCAAGATCATATTAACAGCATACCCAAATACACAAGCCATTATAGCAGATATAAAAATCCGAACAAAGTATACATTGATCATGATCTCAATATACCGTCTTTATATCACGATTATTATAAGCCCTGGTGTGCTGAAAAAAATATAATACCCATAAGTCAAGATAAATATAGAAGGATATTTTGTTTAGAATTTAATATTGGATTTAAACTACCTAGGAGTGACACCTGCAAAATATGCGACGAATTTGATGTGAAAATTGAAAACTTTAAAGGAGTTCAACATTCTTTGAAGCAGTTACAGATAGAAAAGGAGTTACATTTAAGGCGAGCTGAAGCAATGAAAAACACTTTAAAAGATGAGATAAAATGGACTGCTTCAAAAGATACATATATATTGTCATTTGACCTTCAGCAAGCACTTCCTGTGCCTTCTTTAACAACGGGCCCAGCTTTTTACCTGAGAAAGGCTTGGGTATACAATCTTGGTATACATGATTGCGTAAATGACAAGGGCTATATGTATATGTGGTCCGAGAATAATGGTAAGAGAGGCAGCGATGAAATTGCTAGTATTCTCTTGAAACATTTTAAAGAGCGAGAACACCTCCCTAAAAATCTCATCGTTTATACGGATAATTGTGGAGGCCAGAATAAAAACTGGGTCTTGGTTGGCTTGTGGAAGCAGTTGGTGGTAGAGGGTGTCTTCGATTCTGTAGAGCATAGATTCTTAGTAGTAGGACATACTCATCTACCGTCTGACAGAGACTTTGCTATGATAGAAAAATATAAAAAGAAAATAAAGGCAGTATATGAACCAGCAGATTGGTATGATGCAGTAAGGAAGTGTAAGAGAACCAATCCTTTTGAAGTTACAGTAATTAAAAGAGAGGACTTCTTTTCATTTAAAATTTTGGAAGAAACTATAACAAAAAAAAAAGTTTACGGACGAAAAAGAAAATGTTTCCTTCTGCAAAGTTTGTGTCTTTAGGTTCGACAATGAAAGCCCAAATATAATGAAAATAAAACATTTTCTAAATGAGAGTTTTAAAAATGTAAATGTGGGAAAAAGAGGTATCAGAAAACAATGTTTAGCAGACTGTCTTAAGCAGAAATATGCGGAGCCAATAAAACTAAATCCGAAAAAACTTAGTAACTTATCGCTTTTGCTACCTTATATACCCGAAATAAACCATCAATTTTATTTGGAAATTGGTGCCAAAAATTTCGTTCGTCAAGAAATTGAGGAACCATCAACCGAAATAGAACATATAGATGAAGATTACCCCTTAAGTGATGACTAAGTTCTTATTTTTAATCGTTGTGTTATTTTAGAATACCGTTTATTTTTTCATGTAAAAGGATACAAGCCATATTTTTTAAGCAAATAAATCTTAGAAAAAAAGGTCGGTATTTTTTTTTAAATTTCTTTTTAATTGTTGATTACTAAATAACCAATTTTATCTTTTATACCTAAAATCAAATAAATTGTACATAAATTGGATTTTGTGGATTTAAAATAATTTTTAAAATTGAATTTCTCTAAAATTATTGTATGTGGCATACATCCTTTTCACGCCAAGGTCTTCAATTATGAAAAAGGTTCGAGGTCAATACGACGATGTGGTGGGGCTGCGTGATATTTGGTATTCTAACTAAAAACTCGAAACTGTCTAGATCTTCTAGAGATGAATCAAACCACGGTCTTCAGATTGTACCAAAACCAAAACAAACTTCTAGGTATAAAAACCATAAAACATCTTGATAGGAATTCAAAACCGTCTAGATATAGCCATGCTTATAAAATCAGAGGGCTAATAAGAATATTAAAAATCATCTAATATATAGGATGATGACCTAGATATATTGAAATACAAATCAAGTTGATTCGTTGACATCTAAGTCAAAAATAGTTTTCACAATACGAATCAAGGAAGAAAAAACGACAAATGACATTTAAGAGGTGAAAGGTGGTTGTGTCGAAATAACGGTTCCAACCGTTACAAACAGTATAAAAAAATAGCAAAATCAAAACATCTCAAATTCCGTTTAGAAATCCCCAAACTTAATTTAAATTTGACATATGACTTTCAATATTAGGGTTACCACGGTATGTGTGACGTCACTACAGTAACCACCATCACATACTTCGATTTTCTCTCACTATACGGAGAATGGTCGTACTGCGCAGCTTTCTGAGTGCCTTTTAAAAGGAGATAGAAAACTCCGCTATTTTGAACATTTATTACGTGTTGCCTACATCTTGGCGCAATAGTTTTAGTGGTTATGTTATAATATTTACCCAAAGTCAGTCCCCAATGTTATTATTTACGATCCTACACTTTATAAAACCATTAACAAATAATGAATATCTTTAAAACCTTACTTTACTTGGTGATTTTATGTTAAATCTTTCCATTTGTAAGTAACAGTAACTACTTTAATTATGTTCCTATTGTTGTATTATAAATTCTTTTTATTTTTCAGGTCTCCTAGGAATTTCGAGCACTTGAACAGTGTTTACATACCATTAATCAAATTGATTAGAAATTATTTTTAGCTAAACTCTCTTATGATCTCAGCATTTTGACGAAAATGCTAATTGCTCTTATGTAAAAAGGTATGTGATCATGATCAATCATGAAACAATTCTTTGTAAAAGGCAAATACAAAGAAAATTGAAGCATTTACTTTAACAGATAGGGACATTATTAAAATCAAACGAAATAATATAAATAAACATGTAAGTATAGTGTTTCCAGACTCAATCCAATATAGATGCTGTACCGGGATTACGTAATAATTCGCGTTACATGCCATGCGAATGCTACTAATTCTATACCCTCACATTGCAAATAAGCGTGAACCGTCTTGGTATAGCCTCTGATGTGGCACACTTAAGTTTTAAACATCTACGCACCTACAGTTGATGTTAAGTCCACAAGTGAGCGGCCAGAATTGCAGGCTCGCCTGGCTGCTTTAGTTGTTTTATCTTTGATCAGTAGCGTGCACGGTTTGAAAAATTTTCCCAAAGCGTTTGTTATAAACTTGTTTTTATTTTTCGGTGTTTCTGTTAAATTTTGATTTGTGTTATACGAGATGCTTTCTGGAGACCTTTTGAGGTAGATGTAGATGCTAGAGTCATAATTGAAATGGCCTTGTAGCAAACGCTTCGCTACTTTCAGCAAAATATGTCAATAAAGCTCTGCATGGTTTATAATGAAGATATGAATGCAGCAGTTTTTAAGAACTGGTTTGCTGAACAACTTTTACAAAATATTCCAACTAATTCAGTCATTGTAATGGATAATACGCCATATCATTCCCGGAAAATTCTCAAGAAGCCAAGTAGTGACTCTAAGAAATCAGATATATCAAAGTATTCAAAAGATAATAACATTGATAGTCCTGCTTCCGTAAAAACAAAACCACAATTGTTACAAATTGTTAAAGTAAGAATATTCCAATACAGTATTATATTGATAATTTTGCAAAACATGATGATTATACTGTATTGAGGTTACCACCTTAATATTGTGTACTTAATCCAATTGAATTAGTTTGGTCTTCAGTTAAACAAAAACTGAGACATACCTAATAATTTTGCACCTACCTTAACAAATGTGATTTGGAAAATATTAATGGCGTTTTTAAAGATCCGTCTTTGACTAACGTTTGGAAAATTTGCATTAGTCACGTCCTAAAAAGAAAAACGAATATCATATTTTACCTTCTATAGCTCCAGTAGTTATATATCCAAACCTCGATACCTCGACAGATGGTTCAGATTTAGATTCGAATGAACTTTCTTATTTTTCATTATTGGTAATCCGAGAGTCATCAATTCATTGTTAACATTTTATTAGTTCGTATTCATTTATTTCTTTTAAAAAATTCATTTTTCTGAATTATTTTATAGTTTTATTTTATTTGCAAAGAATTTATTTTCCTTTATGGTTTTTGCTTTGAAATTTAATTTTCCGAAAAAAAAAAAAACGAATGGGGTACAAAAAGGGATCAGTTCACGTCTGGTACCCTGTTTGAACCAAACGCCCTTACAGGCAGGTACATTTTACTCGTCTATTTACGTTTTATAATTTAATATTCAGTTATAGCAAATTAACGAGCTATAATAATGATTTTTTTAAGTTTCAAGTAAGACTACAATTAAGTGCATATATCTAAATAACGGATATAACGCCGTCCAATTTATAATCATTCGATCGCCTTTTAACGAATACTTTCTCGTATTTATAAAAATATTAAATTTTTAAAATGATGTATCTACGCCTGTGACAGATCAAACAAAATTGTCGGTAAGAGTTCGGAACGAGTTTAATGAAAGAACTATACATAATTATTAATTTAATTTACTTAATTTTAATAATAAAATTGGTACGCTCATGTGCGCGGTCCCTTTGAAGTCGGTACTAATCGGTTATTCTGCCATGTTGGATTGTGTCTAAAAAGACTATAATATTGTTTACTTTTTGAAACATTTATATTATAACAATTGTTTTTATTTATTTCAAGTTTACTACCTCTGGCTCATCTACACCTGAAAGTAGAGGTAGCCTACAGCCTCACTAAGAAAATAGCCCCCTTCTGCTAAATAGCTTATCTGGAACAGTTAGAAAATGACCTGTAATATTTAATTTATTAATTTGGTACAATAAACTTTGTAACAATTTAGGGTTAATGAAAATTTCTGAGAAGCAAAAGTACCACTGATACAGGTACATTGATTTTGTACGTTAGACATACATAGAAATCATAAAAGTAACAAAAACGTCTTTTAAAGCCACCATATGTCGACATCCTTTTTACAATATTAAGTCGACGGAATAAGAAAAGCATAGCTAGACCATCGAAGGCTATAGACGCAGAAAGTAGTGGATAAAAAATGTAGAGCCATAAACTGAATCTGAAATAGTAAATGTTGCTTCATTATATTCATATCCTTGTAAAATTCTAAAGTAAATTCCTAAGATTACAGTTAATAAAAGTCCTTGAAATCCTTGTTTAAAATTATTTTCTATAATTCTATGGTGTGCTCACGTAACCGTTAGTCCGGGTGTAAGTAAAATTAATGTATTTAGTAGGGGATCTCTAAGGGATTAAAAGTTATAATTCCTTTGGGCTAATGAATTGTGAAAAAATGCTCAAAAAAATGAGACGAAAAATAAAACCTCAGAAGTAATAAATAAGATTGTCCCTCATCGTAAACCAGTTGATACTTTTAATGTATGCAATCCTTGGAAAGTTCCTTCACGTACAATGTCTCGTCATCATTGATATATAATTAATGATGTGATTAATAATCCAATAAATAAGTTATTATTATATAAATGGAATCATTTAATTGGTCCAATTATAGTTGTTAAAGCACCAAGAGTTTTGAAAATGTATACTGGCAATCTAATGTTAATACAATTAACAAACTTGTGTAATCTTTGAAAACGAGAATATTGGTGGAGGTGGTGGCAGTAATACCCATAGGGGTATTATCTTGAATATAAAATAGTTCTTACTGTGTAACAACTGAAAGAAGACTCATTTGTAGATGAACAATACATCTGTTTCAGTTAAAAATTTAACAACTATATATAACTAACTTAAAAAAAATTAACTGTTATACAAAGTCAACGTGTCTGTATCAGATAAATTATAAGATAAAAACCAACTATCTTTTGCAGCTTGCCTGCAAGAATATATTCCTCTGGTAATATCTTTTAGTTAGAGCTTCTTTAATCTCACATTTCTTTGTTGTTATTTTATAGTTTCGTACCATATTTACTGCTGAAAAAATGCAAAATATAATATTAGATTGTTTAGCCTCAAAAATTTTTATTAATTACAAAAATAAAATGTTTGTTCATGGGCATGGGACTGGCGAAAAATATCATAATATTAAGGTAAAATCATATACACAGCTTTGGAAATAATTTAAAACCACTCACCTCTATTTCTAGATGCACTCGCAATTATAACTTTACTTCAGAAGTTTCTTGTATATTATTTAAAATAAATAAACGTTTTTTCTACATTTGTTGCCTTCATATAACATCTCAAAATACCAAGATGAAGGCTACCAGTTTAACATTTTGGAAAATGTGTTGCCTAACCTAGTAGTAATTGCATCAAAATGACCGCGCCCTATGTTGGGCGTGTCGGACGTCTTTCTTGCACTGTATAGTAATCAAAGTATGTGAACCACAATACTATAACCAACTAGTTGTAATAAAAGCTTATAAAGAAATGCCTTATGTCTCGTTGCGAGCTGACAGCTGTTAAGATGCAACCA